CCCCAAGGCCACGCCTCTCCCCAAGGCCACGCCTCTCCCCAAGGCCACGCCTCTCCCCAAGGCCACGCCTCTCCCACAAGGCCACACCTCTCCCACAAGGCCACACCTCCTAATTCTTTCCAAGCCGGCCCACTAACATGCAAATCTATGAGCGAATAGGGGCCATTCTCATTCAAACCACCACACAGGGGCAGCAGCCCTTTGCATTGGGGACCTTTTACACTGAAAAGGAGAATAGAATTTTGGGGATCAGTTGCATACAGGTCATTCATATTTCAGTATAGTTTTATGATTTCTTTTCAGTTGAAAACATCTTATCAATTCATTTTATTACTGAAAGAAAAATAAGGCCCTCGGACATTCCTAATTAGCTGTAGAGAAGTTCCTAGAAGAGGTTTCATTTCTTTCCTAAATTTCCTTTGGTATAATCATCTCCATCTGGGTTGAGTAGTACTCGGGTATTGATAGCGACATAAGAACGAGCTCTCTTTAACTTTGGCAGTAAGGACATCTTCCTGATCATTTTAGAGGAAAAGAAACAACTAATTAATTGAGGTTAACTATGTATAAACTTCAGTCCCTTACTGCAGAAAAAAATGCATTTCTTATGCAAAGTGATCTTTTAAAGTGCCCTGTTTTGAGCTGCAACATGGAAAGCATTTCAACTTTTAATTTTCACGAAAGTTTTAAGTTAGCCAAAGTAAGCATATTTTTCAGTTAAAGCCCAATTGATCTTGATTCTGCTTCCTTAGAAAGACTGAAAGAAAGAAAACCCATTTTTTTCACTGTAATAGATTTTAAGGAAAGAATTAGAAAAAAATTTGTTGGACCTTTTTAATAGGTAGATTTATGCTTGCAAAACTTAAGTTTTTCTCTTGAGTTGCCTGCCTTCTATTCCATTTAATAGCATGAGCGGTGCTGTACACTATATCCATGGCAAGGCATCAGCTTTGTAAATGTACACGGTGTTCCTTTTTTGAATCAAGTTGTCCCCACAGCTTTTCACAGTGCACCTATTAACTGGTGACATAAACGTAGAACACTCTTTCCAGGCACATTGGAAGCCAAATTTGTTTGCCGAAGCGTCTCATTTCCATTTAACTAATGTTTATTAAGTGCTGCTGGGGCTGAAAATGGCGAAGGATGTGGTGTCTGCCTTTGAGCTCAAGTCTAGCAGGAAGGTTGATTAGTAAGTGTTCTACACAGCGTGGCAAGAGTTCTGGAAGTGGCTGTGGGAGTGCTGGAGGAGGTCAGGGGAACAGCACTTGCCAGAGTCTGGGCAAGGGAAAAGTTGAGAGCTGGGCTGGGGCTTGAAGGATAAATGGAAAAGCACTACATGGTGATGGTGGTGGAGAAGTGAGTGTCCAAGAGAACAGAGCACAGAACATGACAGTCAGTGCATAGACACCAACTGGATCATAATTTAGAGTTCCCTCCAGGGTTCCATGTTTGAATATCTGAAAGAAAGTTGCTTTGGAATGATTTACTATAGTTGCGTTATACGACAAGGAGACATGTGTGAATACTGTTAGTGATTTTTCTATTATTTGACTTGATTTTTAAAATCTGAAATCTGAAAAGTGGGATTATCTACCATCAAATCTCCACACATCCCATGGGTAGTTGTCAAGGTTAGTGTTGATCAGTGGACCAGAGAGAGATATATAGAAGAAGAGGTTAAAGATTTACAGACTGGCTTGGGTTAGACATTCTATTCTAGAAGCTAAGGAACAGTGGATCACACATTCCTTTCACAGCCAGCTCTCCCCCACTGGGTCTTAATTACTTTGCCAGGCGTCAATCTTACAATGCAGGAAGCTTAATTTCTTGCTTTTTCTACGGGGCCAGCCAGCAGCTGTTTGCTGACAAGAGGGCTTAACTCCATACCTGGTGTCAAATGTTCCTGTCTCTGAGCTGGTGCCTCCTGGCCATAGCCTGCTGCTTCAAGGGACTGTGGTCTCAAATGTGCACAGGGGTAGGGAGGCAAAAGAAGTCTAGAGATTGAAGACAAGTGCTCTCTCTTCTTTTGGACAGAACCTACCTCCCTTACTACCTCTAAAACAAAAAGAATTGTGGGAACACTGGTATCAGTTGAATCAGTGTCATAGTTTAATTTTCTATTGCTGTGAAGAGATATTACGACCAAGGCAACTTATAGAAGAACAGCTTTATTGGAGGCATGCTTACAGTTTCAGAGGGCTAGAGTCCATGACCATCATGGCAAGAGGCATGGTAGCAGGCAAGCAGTCATGGTGATGGAACAGAAGCTAAGAGCTGGCATCTTTATCCACAAGCAGGAGGTAAAGAGAGCTGACTAGGAGTCTTTTAAATCCTCAAAGCCTAATGCCAGTGACACACCTCCTCTAACAAGACTACACTCCCTAATCCTTCCCAACCAGTTCCATCATCTAAGGACAGAGGATTTGTCTTAGTTAGGATTTACTGTTGTTATGAAGAGACACCATGACCATGGTAACTCTTAAAAAGGAAACATTTCATTGTGGTAGCTTGCTTACCACAATGTCCATCATGGCAGAAAGCATGGCAGCATTCAGGCAGGCATGTTGCTGGAGAAATAGCCAAGTGTCCTATTTCTTGCAGCAAGAGGAAGTCGACTGATTGTCACATTGAGTGAAACTTGAGAAAAAGACCTCAAAGCCCACCCCCTCAGTGACACACTTCCAGCAGAAGGTGTGGCCCAGATTAAAGGTGTGCCCTCCAGCCTCAAGGTCTGGATTAAAGGCGTGTGTCATCCAGCCTCCTCCAACAAGACCACACTTCCTCCAACAAGGCCACATCTCCTATAGTGCCACTCCCTATGAGCTTATGGGGGTCAAATACATTCAAACTACGACAGGATTCAAATATATGAGCCTATAGGGGCCATTCTCATTCAACCACCACTATCAGTGCTCCAGCCCACTCCTCACTACTACCTATTTATTTCTTCCCCACCAAATCTCCTTTCCTATAATTGGCCAGGAACAATACAGTCCTTTCTCTTCTAGCAGCATGTAGCTCTTGAACTCTGAAAGTAAAAGAGTAGAAAGAGCCTCTCTTATCTGAGAGAAAGCCACCAGCTATACTTAATTCTACAAATAGGGGAGCTGATAAAGAGTACCTCAAACCATCAATCTGGCACCAGTGCTGATAGGGCCAGACAGTGTGGCTTAGCCGATCCTTGGGGTCTTCTGGCACATAGTCCTGGGATAGGCAAAGCCATGCAGAGTCAGTGAGAATAAATCAAGATGCAGATCAGCCCATAGTGAATGGTCTCAGTCAGCAGCTTGACTTTGAGTCTGCCTTGAGATGAACTGGAAAGTGCTTTGTTTGGTAACATTAATGGTATGGGCTCTTCCTGATGAACTGGTTGGCAATGCAGATGGACACACATGATCACTCTGGCTGAAAAGGCTCTTTAATCACTCAGGTCTGTTCCAGAAAGCTTACTCGACTTAAAAACCAAAGAATCTGTTGTCTATGCCAGAATTACATGTGGTCCAACAATTTCCTATGGAAAATGGACTCTGGTAATTAAGATAAATCACATTCACTTCATCTGTTCAAGTACTTTTATTGACAACTGTGGTCTCAGGAGGATTCTGGGGAACAGTTCTTCCTCTAAGACTAAAACCTACCAAAGTTTGAGACTCTTGTTTACACTGAGTTGATAAAACATTGGCACTGATGATTAGCTGCAACACAATGACTTCTTATAAACTGAAGCTGGCTCCAAGACCCAGATGTGTGGAATAGCCATTATGCCTGGATCACAGGGTTTATGTGAAATTCAGGTCTCTGCAAATTCTTTATTTACTTTTCAACACCATCTATGGATTTGTTATAAAGTAAAATAAGGTGCCAAAGCATCAGGCATTTTACTTAAGTTTTATTGTAGGTGTGGGCAACAGGCAAGTAATTCCTTCCTTGTTAAAGAATGAAAGGGAGGCAGTTGCTTGGCTAGTAACTCTTCACCAGGCAAAAGGACAGTTCTCCAAGCGTGGATCTCTACTTGTCTGTAAAGAGAACAGTTCTGTGCTCATCACTGTATGCCTTGTTATTATAGTTTCTTAGAATTCCTTGTATCTAGAAAGGTGGGGGGAGGTCACACAGCACCAGAGTTAGAAGTGAAGCCCAACTCCAGAATGTCTAGTTTCTGACCCCAAAATGGAAGACACAAGAAACTTCTCTTGGGGCATAATGGGCAGCCAGGTTGTGACCTCTGTGATTTCTGCATCTGTTTCCCCTTCTGTCACTTCTGTTCCTTCTTCCCCCATCGCCCCCCCCCACCCCCTGCCCCTTTACTTTCTCTTCTCTTCCCTTTGAGACAAGCTGGTATGCTGCCCAGGCTGGCCTCAAATTTGTGATTCTCCCTCAGCTTTGTAAGAGGCTGAGATTACAGGTATGTGCCACCATGCAGGTTCTGTCCCTAATTGAGGTGTCCTACTCGACTCTGTCCCCAGCTCTTTACCTGTATTCCCAACGTTGAACAATGAATGACATTACATGCTGTTAAGTGTCATGAAATGCTGTAGCCCTCTACTGTCCTTGAGATGAGGTCACACAAACTGTCTCCTTATTGCTTTTTATTCTTTCTTATTCCACTTTTTCTGATTCTCTTCCTCCGACAGTAGACTTCACTTTCTGAACGGGTCTCTGGCACTTCAAGATTGTAACAGGGGTAAAATGAGGTAATAGCCACACAGTCCAAACCAACAGACAGCCACTGAGTGATTTTGTATAAAAACAAGTTTTATAAGAGGCAGTTGACTTGAGGCTTGAGACTCTTGTTAACCTAACTTTTGTAACCAGTAGGGAGTTATGTAACAGTACATTAAACAGTGCAAGCTGTAACTCGGCTCTAAGTTTATGCCAAAGCTGAAAGGAGTGAGGGCGTAATGGAGGTCTCCATCCCACCGGGGCCTGCAGCTTTACTCTGTAGAGGGTAGCTCCTAGAGGTCGACATTCCACTTTCGGAGGATTAGCTCAGTAATTAAGGACCATACTTTCTGGAAACATTTTTTTTTTCACTTTGTTCCAGTAATTGATAAATTTTTAATTTGCATGCCAGTTTTTACAGCTGTTCTCAAAACTATTGGTCTCAAATTTCACCCTTCATTATCCTTTCCCGTTAGGATAATTCGTAGTTTTTTTTTTGTTTTTGTTTTT